CGCCTACAACAAGTTCTGCGGGAAGAAGGTGAAGGAGAAGCTCAGCAACTTCCTCCCCGACCTGCCCGGCATGATCGACCTGCCCGGCTCCCACGACAGCAGCAGCCTGCGCTCGCTCATCGAGAAGCCGCCCATCTGTGGCAGCTCCTTCACCCCGCTCACGGGTGCCATGCTGACCGGCTTCCGCCTGCACGCCGGCCCGGTGAGCCCCGGGGCCTGGAGCCTGGGGGGTGGGAGGGGCCCGGCCTGGCCTGACCAGCCCCGTTTCTCCACAGCTGCCCGAGCAGTGCCGGCTGATGCATATCCAGCCGCCTAAGAAGAAGAATAAGCACAAGCACAAACAGAGCCGCACGCAGGACCCCGTCCCCCCAGGTAAGGGCTGCTGCAGCCACCCCCCTCCTCCCCTTCAACACCAGCAGAGCATTGGCTCATCCAGTGCTTGCATTTCTCCAGAAACCCCCTCGGACTCCGACCACAAGAAGAAAAAGAAGAAAAAAGAGGAGGATCCGGAGCGGAAGAGGAAGAAGAAAGAGAAGAAGAAAAAGAAGGTGAGTGGCAAGGCTGGGGTTCAGTGCCCAGCCCGTGGACCCCTGAACGGCTCTGTGAGCGGCCAGCTCCAAGGGGCTGCTGCCCAGCAGCTCTCACACGTTCTGTCTCTGTCTGTCCTGCCTCTGCAGAATCGGCACAGCCCGGAGCACCCAGGGGTGGGCAGCTCCCAGGCCAGCAGCAGCTTACGGTGAGGCCACGCCGGCAACGCCCTGGGGATCCCCCGGCCCAAGGGGACAGCCCCAGCTGACCCCAGGGACTCTGGGGCTGGCCTGGCCTCCTGGCTAAGAGGACACCCCTGCAGCCCCCCAGGACCAGGGGCACGGACTCTGTGGGTGCTGACCTCGGGCTTTTGTACCTGAAGAAGCATCAAAGCCTCTTTTAGTTACTTTTAAAGTCTGCTCTGAGGAGGGGGCTGGTGGCCATGGCTGCTGTGACCCTCAGCTGTCATGGAGGAGCCCAAACCAAGGTGTCCCTGGAGCGTGCGGGGTGCCCTCCTCTGGATCCCAAACCTCACCAGCACCCACGACACCTTCCCTGGAACTGCTTTTCCCATGCCTGGAAAATTCTTACCTTCTGTGGGAGCAGAGTTTGCCTCAAGGTGGTGCCTCCCCAAAACTGGGCCAGGCTCAGCTCTTACCAGACCCCCTTCTCTCTCTCTCGGGATCGGGGGGAAGGCTGAGACCCTGAGGATCAGGAGCCCTGGAGGGGCTGCTCCATCCCTGGACACCAAACAAAGCACACGCACGGCCCTGGGGTGGCTCATTAAATATCCTTTTATTCCTCGTTTTTAAAATGGCTGATAATAATAAAAAACCCTGTCGTGGCTGTGCGGGGCCACTGGAGCTATTGCTGTAGAGAAAGAGTCCGGTACTGCCGGCAGGGCTTTGGGGACGGGGAGCACGGGGCTCCTTGGCTGCGCTTTTTTGGCATGTGATGAGAAAATATTGCTTTCCGGGGATGCACCTGCCTCTTCCCCGAGCGAGCGGAAATAAAAACACCCCTGCGACAGCGAGAAACCTCCTCGGAATCATTAACAGAAATAAAAAAAGGCAACAAAACCAACAACCCCCCGAACACAGCCCCTGGGGAAAGAGAACAAAGAGCAAAAACTGCGGGTGGGGGATGCTGGGGCCTCTGTGCCAGCTCAGGCTGGGGATGTGGGGGTGCTGCCCCCCAACCTGCCTACTTCCCCAGGCCCCCTCAAGGGGACTGTAGGCTGCAGACACCACAGATCTGGGAGGGGAGTATCCAAGGATGGGTACCTGGTACCCCATGGCCCCCTGCAGGGGAGGGAACAGTGACACCCAGCACCTACCACAGCTCCTTCCATGAGTGCAGGAGGCAGCCCCACGTCCCTCCTTTGGGGACAGGGACAAGGTGCGGGGGACCCAGGCCCTGAGCAGGGTAGTTTCTTCCTCTCTCTGGGCAAGATATATAATTTCTGCTTTTTTTTTTTTTTTTTTTAATATTTATATTTATATATATAGATATTTATATATACACACACCTGGTAACTCGGAAAGAGAAAAAAAATAGAATCCGTAACAATAATAATAATAAAAAAAAGTATTCTGGTTTAAAAACAATCCGTTCCTACCACGCCAGGCGAGCGGGTGATTGCACAAGGCCCACAAGTGGCTGGTGCAGCCGAGGCAGTGCTGGGGCTGCGGCCCCCCGAGCCCTCCCCGAGCCCCCCGTGGGTGTGTGCCAGCCCCCATGGCCTGGGGGGCAGAGGGAGGAGCAGAGGGGGCCCTGCCCGGCTCTCACAGGAGTCCACAAGCCTCTGGCCGCCGCTGGGGAGGAGGGGAGGGAGCTCTGCCCCTCATACCGAGATCTCGTAGGTGGTGCCCCCCACACCCGAGACTTTTTTGACACCTCCGCGGGTGGGGCTGCTGAGGGGCACCGGCCCCGGGCCCGGTGGGGCTGAGCCCAGGCTCTTGGGCTGCCCATTGGACTTGCTGTAGGCTGTTCTCATCTGCACCTCGTCCCTGCAGGAAGGAAGCACAGACATGGGATCAGGAGAGGGGTCACTGGCACCCAGCATTGCCACAGCCCTGCCTTCCCTAGGGACCAGCACCCACTCCAGATTCTGAGGAGCCCATCAGGTGACCGAGAAGGCATGGGAGGCACCAGCTGTGTTCTGGGAAGAACTGGAAGATTTCCCTTGCTCTTCCCAGCATCTCTCCCCAGGGTGAGGTGTTCTACTGCTCCAGTGGCTTGGAGGGACACTGGGTGAGGGTCCCCCCACAGGCTACAGATGCCCCAGTGCCATCACAGTACTCACTTTGGTGCCAGCAAGGGCTGCAAGGCCACCTCCTCGATCTCGGGGCCGCCGGCCTGAGAGGCTGTTTTTTGGCTGCTGTAAGACACGGATTTGCCGAGGTGGGGGGCGGCGGGCTGGTCGGGGGAGCCCAGCGAGCGCACCCGCAGCGCTTGCGGGGGCTCGGGCTTGCCAAAGCGGGGCAGGGCCGGGCGGGTGAGCGGGTTCTTGCCCAGGGGCGAGCGCTTCGAATCGTCCGAGGAGGAGCTGGTGCGGGGGGCGTTGCTGGAGCCCGGCGTTGACTGGATGCCCG